GGACGTGTGCATCAACAACGCTGGCTTGGCTCACCCAGAGCCGCTGCTAAGTGGCGAAACCAGCGGCTGGAAGAACATGATGGATGTAAGAGCTCAGATCTTGGTTTACATTGGTGTGACATTCACGAGTGTTTTTCAAGTAAAACATTGAACTGAAATAACAATAACATGTGACAAAGGTCACCGATCAGTGATTTTACTGCTGTGGTATTGTTTAAACATTAACACTTTCAAACAGTTTTAAACAGAATTCAAAGTTGCTTAAAAACCTTTGGTACCCCTTGTTGTTGTGCAAGATTTCTGTTTGTTTTCTTGCAGGTGAACATCCTGGGGTTGAGTATTTGCACGCGTGAGGCATATCAGTCAATGAAAGAGAGAAACGTGGATGATGGCCACATCATAAACATAAACAGGTGCGTTTTTATTTGCTTGTGCAAGCTTGTGAAGTGAAAAACTGCTGAATTAATAAGAACACACATATGTTTTCATGTTGGCATGTTCTCTATTCAGATTGTGAATATGATATTAATTTTGCAACACTGCACAATTTTTTATTTTTAAATGGCCGACATTTTCTAACTTCGAAAGAAAGCTACAAGTGAAAGGAGGGCAGGACTTTTACATTTTAATGAACTTCGTCACATTCAAGCAGGTATGTTTACACAATGCTGCCTGTCAGTGCAGTTGTGCTGAAGGGTGTATTACGGATGAAGTTCAACACAGCCAGGCTTTCTTTAGATTAGCTGGTTCAGCAAAATCTAAAGCCCCATTATGGTAGTAACGGTTGTCACAATGCTGGTTATCAACTTTCTCTGTTGAATGGGACTTTCTGCTTCATGCGCTGAGCACACTAAAAACAGGTGTTTTGTTGACGATAATGTTAAAATAGTGATTAAAAATCACTAAAGAAAAAAAATAAAACCTATAGTAGCGAAATGCAACACTTGCAAATAAGACAAAAGGTTAATGCTGCAAATCTTGGGATTTGGCACAAAGAGCGGTAAAATAAACAAATTTAAGTTTAATTAAATCATTTCACCATTGAGTTCCCTCTTGGTGCGGCCTATTGTCAGTGTGTGTGTTCTGCTGCACTTCCAGCAGAATCAGAGTTAATAACAAATCACCAAACTAATACATGTACATTCCCATGACAATGCAATGCTTCCTTCAGTGGTTTTCATAAAGTTCAGCTTAAAAACTTGGACATATAAAACATTTTCCCCCAGCAGACAATCTGTATTTCACTTAAAACATGCTATGAATTAAAAAAAAGAAAAGAAAAGAAAGAAATCAGCTAAAGCATTGTGCTACCAGTCAATTTTAGATGAAAACTCAGAACACAACCTGCTCTTACTGTGCTTATTTGGCCAAGTTAGAGAGAAAATTGTGCCTTTATGCTCAAGCCTCAGTTCGCTAAGCCATTAATCTGGCTTTAACACCCCTCTGGCACCCTTTTCAATGAGGAATCTTCTCCAGTTATCCAGAAACCTTGACTCAGATGAATTTATCACATGGCGTGTTGCTGGGAAAAGCCTGATTTTTAACGTTTGAGTCTAAGGTTTATTTTAAGCACCTGACTGCTCTTTTTTGCTTCTCATCCATGAACTCTCTCCATAATCTTTTGCGTGACTCTTGCGTAGGTGGTTAAAGAGGTTTGCCGTGTTTGAGTCTGAGGTGGAGATCGGTTTCCTGCATAATTTGAGGAGCACAGTTTTTTGGTCCATGTCAGACTTTTCATAACCAAACCATATCCATGCTACAGAAACCCCTCGTTTAGAAATAAGGTCCTCATTTTGTTTTGAGTGGTCTTTCTGTTTGTCATCATTTCAGTTTATTTTGAAAAATCTCAACAGGATCTTGAGCTTTATTGTAAAAGGTTTATGTGGAAAATAAACTAGCAGATGACGGAGCCACACACTGGGTTTACCATCGTAGTTGCTAACGACAACGTGTAAACTCAGTCGCTTGTCCGTCCGTAGTGTGATTATTTTAAATATAAGAGAAAGAGAGATTTTTAAGAAATTAATATAGCCACTACAGTGACCATCAAAACGATGAAAAAATATGGTCGTAAACAGTTTATTTTGTGACACCATGAAACAAATGATAGCGTAATATGAAAAGATAGACTTTTTCATATCGCCTTCCGATATATATCGTTATATCGAACAGCCCTAACACCTAAGCGATTTCTGTTTTCTGTAGGGATCGGACCTTTTTTGCACTGAAACAGCCATGACTTTGCTTTGACAAAATGCCTGTTATTACAACATTAGAAATTTGCTAAATAACTGAGTGCAGATTTTAAAGACCTCATTGAGGTCAGTGTTTATTCATCTGCAGGATAAACCATCAAAAAAATGTCAGACGATATTTAAAATGTTCATAAAACTGTCCTAAATAAAGTGACATCTCCAATTATTTTGGCCAACCAGAACCCAAACTAATATGAAAGCTCAAGGAAAATCTAGACTGGAGATCACTATCAAAGTATCAAATCCAGATTTTGGACTTAAGCAATTTTTTTGAGTATAAAACAGTTTTTGCAGCTTTGGACCTCAGCTTCTGTGTGCCACAGAAGTTCTTGCATCATTCAGTCAGACTTGCCTTTTAAACGAAGAACTTTTAATGTTATTTCTGCTGACCTGCTCAGGTTTGTAATCTGTTTGATGTTGCAGTATGTCCGGTCATCGTGTGCTTCCCAGTGCAAGTACACATTTCTACACTGCCACCAAGTTCGCTGTAACCGCTCTCACTGAGGGCCTGAGGCAAGAACTGCGTGCAGAAAAAACTCATATCCGAGCCACGGTAAGGCTTTAAAATATACTATAACCAGCTCATAAAGTGCTAGTATAATTCATAATGCTAGTAACAGTTGCTATGAGACACATAAACAGTACTTCATGGAGTTTACTCATGATCTCTTTATTATTATTTTTTTTATTATTATTATTTTTTTGCAGAGCATTTCTCCTGGTTTAGTGGAGACTGAATTTGGTCCACGGCTCTTCAAGGACGATCCCGATAAAGCTGCCGGTCTATACTCAGAATATAAGGTAAACGGATCATTCCTATAATTAAAGTATCGTTAATATGATTACTCAAGTAAAGAGTATTCAGTCACTTTTCACTTCTCTCACAGCCTCTGGAAGCAAAAGATGTTGCCAGTTCTGTTGTATATGTGCTCAGTGCCCCTCCTCATGTTCAGGTTTGTGCTTTGCTCTTGTTTTTATGCTTTTTATTGTGTCTTATTAAGATTTTCCTGTTTTACATTTTAACTTTGACTCATAATAAGACAACGTTGACGTAACTTTTGTTTCAGATTGGAGACATTCAGATGCGAGGGACAGAGCAGGTGTCTTAGAGCTGCACCACGAGACCCTCTCAAACAATAAATTTCACTTCTTTACAACATTTTAAAAGATAATGACTTGATACGATCATGAAACAATTTTATGGTGTTGTTTTTTTTTCACAAATGCATAAAATAAAAAACAATCTTCAGGGGAAATTTGTTGCATTTCTTTTTTCTTTCTCTTTTTTTTAATTTTTAATAAATTTTAATAAATTAACAAAATCTTTATGGTTTAAAAACCATGTCTGAACCTTAAGTATAAATGTACTTGAAAAATTAAGCATTAGTAGTATTAATGAAGTATAGCAAGATATGTAAGATAATTGTAAAAATTGTAGAAAAAGAAAATGCAAAAATAAATAGTAAATATATTTATGTAATATTAATAAGTGACACATCACAAATACATGTAAATAATTAAATAAAATGGTGAACCTACTGACTCATTGTTATTCTTAAGCTGTGGTTTTGATTGCTAATTGACTGAGTTTCTTTTTTTTTTCTCTGTCAGTATTCCAGCATTGTACATTCTGTTTTATACTTAAAATGATAAGTAGTCTTAGAGGTAATAATAATAATAATAATAATAATAATGGATTGGATTTATATAGCACTTTTCAAGGCACCCAAAGCACTTTAAAATGCCACTATTCATTCACTCTCACATTCACACACTGGTGGAGGCAAGCTACAGTTGTAGCCACAGCTGCCCTGGGGCAGACTGACAGAAGCGAGGCTGCCATATTGCGCCATCGGCCCCTCTGGCCAACACCAGTAGGTGAAGTGTCTTGCCCAAGGACACAACGACCAGGACAGAGAGCCCGGGGAACGAACCGACGACCTTCCGGTTACAGATATGCTTCCCAACCCCCTGAGCCACGAATTCCCGAATTCTTTGTGTTTTAGTTAACTGTAGCCTCACACATGTTTCTCTATACTGTGTGTTTTTGTCACAGTGCTGTGTCTAGTTGGCTTTACTTCGGCTTCGGCTTTACTTTGAGTTGTCTTTTCTGCTTTGCCTTTGGTTTTGTTTTCCCATGTCCTGTGTGTTTTTAAAGTCTCTGTTTGCTTGTGTGCTCTGTTGTGTCACACTGTGTTCCAGCTCGCTTTGCTCCTAATGTGCTTCCTGCTGGCTTCTTGTGTGTTTAGTTAATGTGTAGTAATGGCGTAAACAAATGCCATGTTTTTTGAAACTCTGTAACTAGACTTCATTTTTTTTAAATCCTCTCTCCTGCGGGTAGTTTATCCTTAAAGCTCGGGTCCTCTACCAGACCCTGGGAGTATGAAGGTGCGCTCTTCTAGGACTGTGCTCTTCTGAACAGAGGTGTGATATTGTTCCCGGGATCTGCTGGAGTTTCCAACTCACACATACATTAATCACATAATCTCAGTTTCTGTGAGACACCTGCACAACTGTTCCGAGTTTCCTCAGTATCCATTCTTTTTTGCAGTGCATTTTCTCTGGTTTATTGGAGACTGAATTTGCTCCATTACTCTACAAGGACACTCCCGATAAAGCTGGTGCAAGTGACAGAGCAGTCCTTATAGAACTACACCATGTGACCCTGTCAAATAATGGACTGGATTTTTTTTTTTTTTGTACTTCTTTGCTACATTTATGAAGATGATTTTAACTTGTCATTAAACAGTTTTATGAAGTTGTTATAGACATTATCTACTAAGGTATGAAATAATCAAGTAATTATTTTGGGGGGAACTTTGTTGTACTTCCCTATCTAATTGCACTTCACGGATATTTGTTAGAAAAAACTTTATGGTGTAAAACATTAAACCTTAAGTATGAAAATATCTGAAAATATATATTTCAGTATTCAAAAAGAATTGCTTAAAATAGTAATATATTTAAGATAAAAAATACATAAATCAGTGGTAAAATAGCTCATATATATTTCTATAATGTCTATTCCACATTACTAATACCTGCAAATAAGTGAACATACCAATCCTAAAAATATTTGCATAAATCTATCCATCTATTTATCGTTATATAAACTCAACTTTTCATGTGTCCGTTTAGAAGCACGTTAGATGGTGCAAAGGAATGTCTAGCCAGTACTGAAACAAATACTAATACTAGATGTGACTCTTAAATTTAAGTCGGAGTTTTACTTGCTTTTGATCAGTTTGGGCAATCTGAATTCCCTTGAAGTATTTAATTACAACAACAGAGCTGATTGATCTGTTTTCCTATGTTTGCACACAATACAGCACACAAACCTGTTTTAGAGCGTGGGACGTAGCGTGGTACCAGGGTACACTCAGGAGGAGGAGGAGTTCTGCTGTGCCACTGTGCTGCAGCCTCGGTGTCTATCAAAGTAGGCGAAAAGTGGTCGATTGGGCGGAGAATTGGAGCTTTGTTTGAGAGCAAAGGGAGCCTGGAGTTATGTTTGAGATGTTTATATAAATGCTTTATATCACAGGACACTCGTCACTCACGCTCTCTTTATACTTGTGATTCTTTCCTTGTTCTTTCGTGCGTGTCCGAACACCGGTGTCCGGGCTGTGATGGAGCGCTGGCGGGGCAGAGTGGCTCTGGTGACCGGAGCCTCGGTCGGGATTGGGGCGGCTTTAGCTGTAGAGCTGGCACAGCTCGGAATGAAAGTAATGGGCTGCGCCAGGGACGTCGAAAAAATACAGGTTTGCAATTTCTGCGGGGAGTCATTTAATGTAAAGTGACTCTGTCACGAAGTATTGTTTGATATCTAATGCTATGAGGATCATTTTTCAGCAGAGTTAGGTTTATGAGAAAAATACATCTGTGTTGATCAGTGTTGGTCAAGTTACTTGAAAAGAGAGAGTAACTAATTACCGATTACTTCCCCCCAAAAAGTAATCCCGTTACTTTACTAATTACTTATTTTCAAAAGTAATTAATTACTTAGTTACTTTTTTAAAACACGATTTACAACCTGAATAGGTGATAAAGCGATAGATCTTTCAGCTCAATTCTACTTTTTCTGCATAATCCATCATACAAAATGTAATCAAAATGTTTTATTAGTTTTAACCTTTTAATTTTATGCATCAAGCAAAAATTTAATTAAATGCAACATTC